GAGATGAATTTGGTTCTGTGAACTTTAATAAACTAGCCCAGTGTCTTCTGTCTACCCTACACTAGATGCACTTTCTATAATCACTTTTTTCTGGCACCTGCCTCGACAGGTAAGGCCTGGCCCTGGGAGTGAAGGGGACGCAGCCAAGTGGAAAGGCCACTCTCCTCCCTGACTCTGAAGAGACTTAAATTGGATGTGGTCAGAAAGCAGCTGATGCTGGAGAGCCCTCCCCCTCAGAATGGGTGTAATATCCACCCATCTGCTTTAGAGTCATGAATTGGGGTCAGTGGGAATGGGGGCAGATAATAACAGTACAGGAGTTTTCCAGTGTTCTCTGCCCCTAGGGGCCCCTTACAGTTGTGGAGTATTCTATGGGTTGGCCCATATTTTCACATGTGGATGTGGGTCTCACTGAATCCGCACCTGAGCCTCATCTCCCCACAAAGGCAGGCCTACACACTGGGAAATGGTGGGAGTAGGTGAATTAATAGCTTTATGTTCATAAAAACCCAGGGAGATGGCAGATATTTTTCCATCCCCTTTTCCCCAGACTATTATTTTTGAGAAATTTCAAACACTGAAGTTGCAAGAAGAGTACTCTTCACCTAAATTCACCAGTTTTTGAAATTTTGTCACATTTTCCTTACTTCTCTATTTTTCTCTCTTTTTTTGGTGGGGGGAGGGAAGGAGATGGGGGCTGACCATTTGGCACATAGTTTCCAACATTTCCACTTCACCCCTAACTTCTTCAGTATACCTGTCTTAACAACAAGAGCATTTCCTTACATAACCATAGTAAAATGATCCCACTCAGGAAACTAGACACTAATATAATATTATCTCATATGCACACTGACAAATATCCTCCGTTGTCCTTTATAGCTTGTCTTCATTCTAATTCCATATGTGCTCAATTCTGTGGACATGATATAGTTATCATGTCTCTTTATTTTCCTTTTATCTGTAGTAATCCCACAGCCTTTGTATGTTTGTCACATTGACATTTTGAAGAGTTCAAGCCAGTGTTTTTGCTGAAAGTCCCCAGATTTGGGTTTGTGTGTCTCCTCCTCTGTCAATCTGTTTAAACACATATGGCGGCAGGAAGATGGCCTGATACTATAACCCTTGCTGTGCATGACATCTGCGGCACAAAGTCAGGTGTCAACCATTTGGGTGTGCTGGTGCTGATCACTTGGCCAGGTCTCTCCATGGTCAGGGTACCTTTTCCTCTTCATGGTAACTAATCTGTGGGGTGATATTTTAAGACTGTGAATGTTCTGTTCCCTAACAGCCTTTGCCTACTGATGTTCGTATGTGTTCATAATTCGTGCTCACCTCAGCTCTGCGTGGTGATGGAGGTGTTACTTACCACTTTCAGATTAGGAAGATGAAGTTCCAAAAGGGAGGTGGGTTTCATGTGCCATCTGTCCAGCTGTGACCATGTCATCACTGGGGTCTCCTGGATTACGTCACATGTTTATCTTTTATAAGCCACTCAATCTTTGCCTTCATATTTGCATGCAGACATCTGTTTTAGGAATCACTAGTTTCTGTTAATCTCATCAGCAGCTTCTGTATTAGATCAAATTCCCTAGCAGACCCTGAGACAGGGACTTTAGTGCTGTGATTTATTGAGAGGGGCTCTCAGGAGCAGCCCGTGAAGGCGTAGGGGATACAGGAGGGGATGTGGAGGAAGCTAGGCAAAGACATGGGCCTTCTGAAGTATAGCTCAGCCTGATCCCACAGGGGACTCTGAAGCATGAATAGCCCCCAGAGTGGTCCCACCTTCAGACAAGGCCACTGCACTACCCACTGTGTCATCTGTCATTACAGTGTGTCTGCTCCCAAGGGGAGGGGTTGACTTCCCGGGAGTGTCCAGACCAAGGGGCAGCCAACACTCTGAGCAGCGGGGACTTGGTGCCGGGTCTGGGTCAGAAGAACTGGTAAGGACACTAATAGCATCCAGTACAGGTTCACATTTCTCTAATTAGTTCTTTCTTGAAGGTTGTCCCTGACAAAAGTTGATTCATCCTGTGATAATACACTATAAACCTCAGGTGGCTGGAAGGATAAAGGTGTTAACGCAGTCATTTGCAAAGGCAGGGCCTAGTTTGTGGTTGCTCCTTTATAAGCCTCATGAAGCTTATTCATCGCCTTCCTGTCTGGGCCCTGGCGTTCTAGGGCTGAGGCCAGTTGTCAGAACAAAGGCTTTTTCGCTTCTTGAAACAGCGGAGGAGTCACAGGATGTGCCCTTCTAAGGAAGGAAGAAGTGTCAACATGTTTATCCTCAGCACAGGAGTCACCACTGCTGTGTCAGAGATTGTAGAATTTACTCTTGGTGAAATAGCACCAGGCTGAGAGGGTGGAGATGAAATGTTTCTTTATTTGGGTTCCAGAAATTCTTTCAGCAGCACGTTAGCAGCCGCCCACCCCTACCATTCCCCCCACCAAAAAACCCCACCTAATAGGATCTGTACAAGTACACGTTTTGTTCTTAGGTGTCAACCAAGCACCTTTCAAAGTGCTCCTCAGACTGGCAGCATCAGTGTCTCCTGTACCTTTTTGGAAACACAGAGCCTCTGGTGCACCCCAGACCTGCAGAACCAGAACCTCAGGGAGTGAACCCAGGAAGCTGTGGCTTACAAACCCTAGATTTCTCATGCAGGCTCAAGCGCTCATCCAGTGCAGGGGCTGTAAATGTGGCTACATGTTGGGATTACTGGGAAAAAATGTTTTAAATTCTCATGTCTGGGTCACACGCCAAAGTGTCTGATTTATTTGATCTGGGGCAGAGTAGGGCCATCAGCATTTTTATCCTACCCAGGCAATTTTAATGGGCAGCCAGGGTTGAAAATTACTGCTCTAGGGTCACCCTGTTTACCTTATGTGAAAATAATTTTAACACCAGCTTCATTTTCAAAAGTGTGTTCTTATAGCCACAAAAATTCACTTCAAACTACCTAGAGGCCCTGGAATGGCATTTGCAGAAGGAGAAACTGCCCCCTTGCTGGCACAGACTCTCCCATCTGGAAACTTGTGGCAGAGGTAAAGGAAAACTTTGAGGGGAAACAAAATGTGAATCTTGAATGGAAGCATGAAATTCTTTAGATCTGCAGTAAGTCAGGGATGTGCATGGGAGAAGCTAGGGTATGGCCTCTGCCATCAGCAGGTGTTGTTCTTGAGTCTGCACCCCCAAAAGTGATGCCCTTAGGTTGCCTTTTTCTCTATTTAGCCTCATCTCTGAGGAGTGGCCTGGTCCACATGGAAATAGCACACCTCTCTTTTTTTTTTAATTACCCCCTTCTCACCTTGTATTCAGCATTATCATCAGTCTTTCTCAAAGATTTCATGCAGGCCACATGTGGGTTTCTTTGGGTTTAGATGTGTGAAGACCACGTGTGCTCCAACCTTCACTTGGTCCTCCGGGCATGTATGGTCAGGTTCCAGGTTCCCACTGGCCACTCTGAGATGGATGACCACTGGAGTGGATGACCAGCTCATTAACAGCCAGGATGTGTGAGCGCTCTGAGCACAGCAGAGGGAAATAGACCCCAGTGCTGAGCAGCCTTGTGTTGGAATTTCATCCTCACATTCTTTCCAGGGACATGTCCTTAAGCTCGTTACTCAAGCTACCTGAGCTTCCCAGTCCTCAGTTTTTAAACTGAGTTCCTAGTGTCTGCCTTTAGGGCTGTTGTGAGAAGGAAATGAGGGAGTGTTTGCAAAGGGCCTGGTGGGTGGCAGGTACCGCTTGGACACGAACTACCTGTGTTCGTGACCTTACTTGTTACCTGCAAAGTTGCATGAACAGTAGACCTTCTGAATTTCTAGCTCTGCCATTTCATGGCTATTTATAAATCTGGACAGCTCTCCTTGGTCTCAGTCTGCTCACTTGTATAATGGAGATACTCAATAACAGGATAAGTGTTGGTGCCCAAGGTAACAGTGGAGGTCCATGTGATTTTTTTTAACTGAGATTTCGTTCACATATCATATAACTCCAGCTTTAAAGTGTACAATTCAGTGGTTTTCAGGATTTTCCAAAGCTATATGGCCACAAGCACATCTCATTCCAGAACATTTTTATTACTGAAGAAGAAACTCATATCCATTAGCAATCCTGACCCATCCTACCTCCCTCCTCAGTCCCAGGCAAATGCTATTTTTTCTGTGTCTGTATCTTTGTCTCATCTGGATAGTTCATGTAAGTGGAATCATACCATATTCTGTCTGGCTTCTTTCACTTAGCATGATGTCAAATTTCATCCATTTCTTGAATGAACTCCTTCACTGCAGAGGCTAGCATGGATCAGTACTTCATAAAAAGAGTGAATGACTTATGGCTAAGTAAAATTCCACTGTGTGGATATATCACATTTTATTTACACACCTATTAGTTGATGAAAATTAGGGCTGTTCCCACTTTATGACAATTATGAATCATGTTAGTATGATTTTATGAAAAGTACAACACCATTCAATGGTGAGAGTTTGTTATAAACAGTAGTAATAACAATGCCATGTGTGAAAAGAAATGCAATACAATTCGTCTGGGCACAAAATGAAGGTGTGTGAGTGTGAATGTTTTTTCTTTGCTTTTAGGGCATGACTTGGTTGTGCTCATGATATACACTGCTGAGATTTAGAACCTCACAGTTACAGTATGGAATTTGACATTTAGGATTCTGAGCTCAGAATGAGAAATGTTCTGTGATGGAAGACAGACTTAAACATCAGTTAGGATGTTTAGAACTTTATGTGCACTGGGTTAGAAATAGAAGATTGGGTTCTGCTCAGGGTGGTTGAGAACTGCTGAGCACTGTATTTAATGTCAGAGATACAGTATGAAATAAAATATGGAGTTTGCCCTTAGAAAGCTTTCAGTCTGCGGGGTGACAAATGAGGCGGTGATGACAAGATGGGGTAAGTGCTCTGATAGGCCTGGTCTTGTTAGGAAAATCATGCTGCAGACATTTGACCCCTGCCAATTCTGTTTCTCCTAGCATGATGAGACATGAGGATGATGGGTATTCCAAGGGAAAGGATGTGAAGGCCTATCCCCGGGACTCTGGCTATGACAGCCTGTCTAACAGGCTCAGCATTTTGGACCGGCTTCTCCACACCCACCCCATATGGCTGCAGCTGAATCTGAGTGAGGAGGAAGCGGCAAAAGTCCTACAGTCCCAGCCTCCGGGGGTAAGCCTCAGAACCACAGGGAAACAGGTCAAGGTGGGCAGGCCTATCGCTTCCTTAAAGACAAAGACTTGGAGTTCCAGAAAGTTCTTCCTAGTCCATAAGGAGCATGGCCCCCGTGTGTACCTGGGTGGCAATGCAGGGAAATTCTGGAAAGTATGGAGGCCTCTCCAAGGGAAAGAGCCCTTCACAATTTGTCTTTGTCTTTATCTGCTCGGCTGCCATGGGAGGTTCGGGACTCAGCAGGATAACAGGGCATCTGGGTAATGAGGAGGGAACACTGGCTAGAAGCCCTGGGTCTGACTTCCTGACACTCAGCTTTGAGGTGAACCTGGTCGTGGGGTGCACAGTTGTCCCTGCTGTTTTCATTCTGAGCTTGGGAACCCTGCCTGTGCCCAGCATCTGACTTGAAAACCATCTTCCACAGGCTTGTCTGCTCTGCCTGCTGGTTTAATCTCTTTCTCTTGGGCTTTCTCAGTAGCTTTCCACATGGGTCAAAGTCCAATTCCGTTTCCTCAGCCACTGCCTACCCAAAACCAGGGTCTTAATAAAGACCACTCCACAGTTCTACAGAAGTTCCTTAAAAAGTGTTATTCAGTGATTCCTCTATCCTGTTCTGTCCAATGTGGTAGCTGTCTGACCCATGTGCATATTTAAATTTATGATAATCAAATTAAATTAAATTAAAAGTTAGTTCCTCAGTTGCATGAGCCACCTTCTAAATGTTCACTCACCACAGGTAGCTGGGGGCTACCACACAGAATGGTACAGAATATAGAGTATTTCCATCATCACAGAAAGTTCGATTGGACAATACTTGTGTGCAATGTCTACTTCCAGAAAAGGATAAATAAAAATAAATCACAGATAAAATAAGACTTGAAACAACACACAAGAGGTGGAAACTAAGAGATAGATGGAGAAGCTAGGAGAAAATTCCTTTTTAGTTACTGGCTGAGAAATCAGTTGGGCACGAAAATAAACTTTTGGGTTTCCTACCAGCCAGAGCCTATTTGTTATCACTTTTTGACTTATAAGTGAGTCTTTGTTTCTCTTCTAACGGAAACAGACAGGACTGAGACCTTTGTTGGAACATGCTCAGGATGACAAGGCACAATATTGATCATCTTTGCAGAGAGTTCCAGCCGGGCTGTTGCCTCTGGTTTGGGTCTGTATGATCAGGACCCACTTTTATGAGGCATCCATGTTATGGAGGTTGAGTTGTCCGCTCCTGCATTACTGCAAAAAAATTCTGAAGGTGGAGGCTGCTCTGTTGCTCAGTGTCAGACACTGTGTTCCTGCTGAGGCCTTGAAGGGAATAAGTCAGGTGTGTCCACCTACTTGATCTCTACACAGGACCTGCCTGACCAGGTCAGGGTGAGGAGAGGAGCCACATGGATCAAGAGAGGCCACAGTGTACCAGGCAAAGTGTGAATGCCAAGGAGAAGGAAAGCAGGTGTGAGACAAAGGGAGGCTTGACAGAGAGGAGGTGGTGGCATGGACCTCTGGGTGCCACCATCTTTAATCTACAGCCTAAAGACGGGTTGGCAGACTGTTTCTCCAAAGGGCCATAGTGCAAATATATTTGGCTCTGTGGGCCATGCAGGCCCTGTTAGAACTATTCAGTTCTACTTTGCAGTACAGATGCAGCTGTAGACAACATGTCAATGAATTTGGGTAGGATTTGTTTCAATAAAATTTGTTTAAAAAAACGGGTGGCAGGACGGATTCAGTGCTCAGGCCATACTTTATGCCCCTGAGCTAAGGCTGAAAGAAGACTTAGGGGTGGTACTCTTCCTCACCCCCAAGGCCGAGGGAGAATCCTGTCCTGCATGAGGGAATAATGCCTCTTTTCTGCCAACTGGAGCTGCCTCCCAGAAGTCGCTCTGGGCTCCCCCACATTGGGGTAGTATGTAGGAAGTATCTGCTTTGGTTTTGGGGTGTCCCAGAGACACTGACTCTTTGGGAAGCACTGGCTGCTAGAGGGATTCTGTGGTTGCATCCTCATGGGTGCTGGGAGGAAGGAGGGTGCAGAGGTTGCTCTGTTTCTCTTCTTACCAGACACCCCATTCCCATCACTCCCCCCACTAAAAAACAAGTTTCTTAGGAGCCATTGACTGAACATATGTCCAAAGAAGTGATGATTAAGTGGAAAAAGGGAGTATGGTAGGGAAGCAGAGAGCATGGTGTCTACATGCAAAGGGAAGAGAAGTAGTAGAAGAAATAGGACAGGATAGGCTCCTTGGAGAAGGTTCTGCCCTGCAGAAGGGAACTGGCACTCAGCCAGACCGCCGCACCATGCCCTCCAGGAGTGCCCTCAGTTTGTCGTCTGGGTAAATGGTGACCGCTAGTGCTGGATGGTGCATAGCAGGACAGGACACACCGGCCTCTGCCATGACCAGGCCAGAGCGGCGTCCTGAGATGTGCACCAGGGGTCGAGCTGGTTTAAGGCCCGCCTCCGGAGACACTATCAGGACCTGGGGGAGTTGCTGGAAAGTGAGGGGAGCCAGGGGAGGCCTCAGAGTTGGCTGTTGTGAGCCTCAGAGCACATCTGCCCACCTCCCTGGAGGAGCAGCCATTCTTTGGCTCTAAAAGATTGTTGCCATGCCTGGTCCTGCCACATTATCCCATTTTTCAAGAGCTAGAAATTCTGATTTTTTTGTGAAAAAAAGGAAAACTGCTTTTTCACCATCAACAAGAAATTAAAGTTTCTATTGTAAAATATACCCATGAGCCAAGTTAGCCAATAAGCTCCCAATTCACTACCTGTGGTTCAGCCATGTTTTCTGTGTTTACAATCCAGGTTCACCAACCAAGATGCCCATGTATGACTCAGGGAGAGAACATGCAACATGAGCTGTGAAACAATCCCAAACAGAAAATGCTTCTGCAGACTGAGGGAGCACTTAGCCTCCTGGAGAAGTTTCTGTTAAAGGGAAAGTAGGATTTCTCTGAAGCCAGTTAAGAAAGAAAGGTGTCTGTGACATGTTGGCTGGCTGCTCCTTTCTCAGGTGGTAGTGTCCTACATTGAGCCTTGCAGTTTACTGCAAAGGGGGTTCTGGTCATGGATGGCACATGTGAGGGCAATCATATGCCCAGCTTCCAACCTTCTGGATGTTTCCTAAGCTTGAATTTCTTTTCCCTCCATTAGATCTTCCTAGTTCGTAAATCCACCAAAATGCAGAAGAAAGTCCTCTCCCTTCGACTGCCCTGTGAATTTGGAACCCCACTCAAGGAATTTGCCATAAAGGAAAGCACATACAGTAAGTGGTCACTGGGCGGTTAGGTCCTGGTTGACAGAAGGGTCTCTGAGCACATGGAAATGGGCAGACCTGCACTTTGAGACAGACAGACATGGTCTGAATCCTATTGTTATTCACTAAATGACTGGGCTGGTAACCCACCATAGGTGCCTCGGTTTTCTCATCTGCATAATGGGGTGGTAGTAACCTGAGAGAGCTGTTAGAAGTTTAATTAAACAGCCTGTGTGCAAAGTATGCAGCGTTATCACTTGGCATCTGGCAGGTTGGCTTCCTTGCCACCCTCCCGGTTAAGAGTGTGGATTTGGTCCCCAGGTCTGCAGATGACTAAGCTGTAGAGCATGCTGCAGCCATCAAGCCTTTTTAATTGGATCATAAAGCTCGTGTCTGCACATCTTCATGAATAATCCTTGGGCGGGCATGCTCCCTCCAGGCACTCACTGTTCCATCTTCTGTGAAATGCAGCTAATCAGAGGCAAAGTCCAGCTCTTTGAAAAAATTAACTGGCTGAGGTTTTGAAGGGAAAGCTGTGTTCATCATTATTGATTTTCTTGCTGCTATTCCACATTAATTAGAAATGTAAAGTCTCAGGAGGACATGTTTTCAATTAAAAAAGGGGGGCACACATAACCTCCAAGAAGGGATGGGAAGATGGACTAGTGTCCTAAGAGGGACAATGTCACCGGACTCACAAGTCAGCAACCTGAGGTGTGAAGGCCAGGAGAGGTGGGCCTGGAAGCCCGTCGACTGTCTCAATAGCAAGACTGACCAGGATTCTCACTTCATCTAACCTAAGCAAGTCTCAGTCTCTGCATTTGAAGACACCGAAGGTATTGAAGTCAATTCAAGGGCATAGTGGGATTATAGTTAGCCCAAGTCCATAGGCTCACTGAGCCACATGGCCTTCAACAGAATCTAGAAGAAACCTGCTAGCCTCGTGTGATCAGCCTCAGCATCAGATATAAACCCAGGTCCAGGGGTGCTTTTCATCCAGGCCTCACAAGTTTCTGGATGCAGGGAAATCATCCTGCACAGTATGTGCAGGCACTCAGGCAGTCACAGCCTGGTGAGTGGCTCACACCAGTTAACTTACACTAGGCAGAAATCAGATGATAGATTTTAAATGCATCACTTTAAAGATAATGGGTTACATATTACATGAGAAAAGGCAATGCCAAGTTGGCTTTTGAAAGTCTGCTAGCCAAGAAGCTATAGCTCTAACTGGTTTTTAAATCCCTTCTAATAACCAAAGTTAACCATGATAAATTAGCCTGGAAGCCTCTTCCTTCCCATCCTATAGTAAGTGTAGTTAGTATTTGTACTTTCAAGCTGTCTCAGCATTCATCTTAGGGTCCCTCCCAGCTGAAGATTTTTCCTCCCTATTTTGTCAAGACTTCTGTCACTTCCCTGTTGCATTCCAGGGGACTTAAAGTGGTTGAAAGAGCTGGTCTGAGGTAGGTACTAACCTGATTGTAACTAGTCACCACAGGCCATGGTCCCATGATAATGTCCCTTCCTGGCCATACCCTGTCTTCTCTATGAATTGAGGTGGGTTGAGAGAATAAAGATTTGCTGTAAAAACACACAGATATTTTGTCATAACATCTAGACCATGTGGTTTGAAAATAAATACCACTGTGTATTTGTATTGACTGCTTCCACATATATTATTCCATTTTTTAAAAACTTCAGTTCCCATTCTTACCCTTCTGGGAGACAGGAAAGTACTCTTATGGTCCATTTTACAGATGAAAAAACCAAAGCTCAGAGGTTTAACCTATCCCAAATTGGTTCCCTCCTACTTAACTCACTAACATGTGGTGTGCATGTGTGTATTTCTGTTTCTTTGTATGTGTGTGCCTGTCCGTCACAGTCATGTGTAGAGGCATGAGTGTGTTTGGGAGTGCTACAGAAATACTGAATGAGCAAAATAATACAACATAAGCAAATAATAAGCCAAGTAAATAAGGATAAGGAATATGACAAAAGTGAGAAAAACTCATCAGATTGAGAAATAAGGAAATCGTCACAGAGCTGAGGCTATTTGGGATGTATTTGGAAAAAGATTGTAGTAGCATTTCAGCAGAGATGGCACAAGGAGTGGCTGGCAAATACACGAGTATCTGAAGTACCACTCACTGGCCACCGTTTGGAAGATGTACACCCTTTTGCCAGAACAGCTCTTCTCCATCACGGAGACTGTGGACGGGGTGGTGGTGGTGGTGCTGGTGGGAGCGGGCCCTCTAAATGTGGCTCTAGAATCTTCCATGCTGAATTTGACCAGAAGCTGACTTACAGAAAGCTTGGGTTATCCTCCCAGCTTTGTGCTCCTGCTGCCTCAGATCTTTACCAGTGGTGGCCTGTTTTGGCAGAGTGGGGTGTGACCCAAGAGAGCCATCCTACGAGGGTCAAGGGCAGTGGAGGCCTTGGTGTTCCCAGCCCTGTCTTGCACTGGGAGCCCCTCACTCTAGCCATACCAGTTCTTGACCCTGGTCCAACTTTGTATTCTAAATGAAAAAAAAAAAGTAAAAAAGTTGTGCAATTTGAGTCTGGGCTGGTCTGTTTACCAGCAAGGGAGAGCATGTGCTCTTAATGAGTCAGGGACTGAGCTTGTAAGCCTTCAACTCCTCGCCGGCCTGTTTCTGGCAGACACACACCCTCCTCACAGCTGGTTCTTGTAAGCTGCACAGTAGTTTGTTTGGGAAGCGTTGAATTGGTCCTCTGCACTCAGCAGACAATATCGGAGGAAGGACCTCTCCTTTCCCAGAACATGCTCAGGGACACTCAGCTGGTCTCCAAAATCTCTCTTTTCTAGCGTTTTCCCTGGAAGGCTCAGGAATCAGTTTTGCGGATTTATTCCGGCTCATTGCTTTCTACTGCATCAGCAGGTAAGGCCTCCTCTCTTATGCTGTCAAGCACCTGCTTGATGTGTGCAATATAAGCAGCCCCAAAGTTTCTTTTTTTAAAAAAAAACTTAATTTAATTTTTTAAACTGAACTATACTTGATATACAATATTATATTGGTTTCAAGTCTTCAACATAGTGGTTCAACAGTTATATACATTATTAAATACTCATCCCAACTAGTATAGTTACTATCTGTCAACATAGGAAGATGTTACAGAGTCATTGACTATATTCTGTATGCTGTACTGTCATCCCCATGACTAATTTATATTATGATTGTGATTTTGTGCCTCTTTATCCCCTTCACCTATTTTACTCACCCACCCCAACCTCTTCTCCCATGTCACTTCTCAGTGTCTATGAGTCTACTGCTATTTTGTTCATTTTATTTTGTTTTTAGAGTCTATAAATAAGTGAAATCATGTGGTATTTGTCTTTCTCTGGCTGGCTTATTTCACTTAGCATAATATCCTCTAGGTCAATCCATGTTGTTGCAAATTGCAGGATTTCTTTCTTTTTCATGGCTAAATAATATTCCAATGTGTATATGTAGCACATCGTTATCCATTCATCTATCGATGGACACTTTGGTTGCTTCCATATCTTGGCTCTTGTAAATAATGGGTCAGTACACATAGGGGTGCATAGATCTTTTTGAATCAGAGAGTTTGTTTCTTGACTGAAGCAGGGCAGAGGAATCTAGGAGGCTGGCAGCCTATTAGATATCCCTAGAAAGACTAGCTACCAAAATAAAATGGTCACCAAGTCCCCTATGCCAGACTTTAGATCAAAATAAAAACCATAGCCCCTCCAAATGTATAATCTCTTCAATATAGTTATGTCTGCAAGCTGTTCCCAAGGCTCCTCTCACCAAGACCCAAAAGGCAGGGGAAGCAAACACATGCACATACACACATGCACAGTCATGAACATTCATGCAAATACATTTACAGAGTAGGGGATGAAGTTCGTTCTAGAAATGTGGGTTCCTTAAACCTGGCCATAAATCTTATATCCCTGTCCTCCAGGCCCACTGGGGTGCTCATTGCCTTGTTATAACTAACCACCATTTTAGTCTACATAAAGTTAAGCCCAAAATCACAGTGTTAGCAACTGTCGGAAGGGTGCAAGCTGTGGAAGGCTTTCCTATTGTTTTGTCTTTCTAGCCATACAGTTTCCCAAATCACATGTTTTTTTTGTATGTGATTTGTGATTAAAAATCAATGCTCTGTCTGCAGAGCCTGACATTGCCTCCTCTTGGGTGATGGAGCTCACTTGGCCTCCTTTGTAGCTGAGAGAGCGGACTTGGGGCATGTGTTACTGGGGTTGCTTTAGAAGATCTGAAGCTGAGAAGCTTATTTGGGATGGGTTTATTTATGTTAATTTAAGGGTCAGGCTACTTCCTCAAAGACTGAGTTAGACGTTCATTATACCTGTGGAACTGGACCCTCCCCAGGGCAGGCACTCAGTGTTTACTCCTGGAGGTCACCAGGCCAGCCCACCATGGGATCCAGGACCTGAGGAAGAAGGCACCTGCAGAGGGGAAGCAGCACTGCTTGCCAGCAGGAGGAAGCAAAGGGCTTCCACTAGACTTGGCGCAGAGCCCTGGGGGAGCCCCCACAGGGGACACCACCTGCCAGGGTGTGGGCATGAGCCCTTGGCCTGTGTGAGGGATGCTGCTCAAGAAGAGGCGGCCTGTGCAGAAGCCCCCCAGCATCCCCAGAGTCCACATCTGGTCCGGCTGACCAGTCCCTGGGAGTGAAGCTCAACACTAACCTGTTGGCCAGGGGTGAAGTTGGCTAGTGTTTGCATGTCGATGACTGCTGTTGTGAAAGCTCGTCACACCTAGAAGCCAGTATTTAGCACTAGTGTACAAAAGATACCATCTCTCCCCTTGGTGTTGATAATAGATGGGAATACTGCTATCTAGGGCTGTTTGATGATTGAGGGAGATAAAGTACATGAAAGCCTTTTGGGAAGTACAAAGTGTGATACCAATAAAAGTTGCTTATGGAAAAACCCCAACATTGGCATTTTTGTGATTCAGGAAGACTTGAGATTCATTTTCTGATTAGTTTTCAAAACACCAAAGTTCCTAATGTTTTTATTTCTCCTTTTACACTCTTTGTTAATCATTTACCTAAATCTATGTCTTTAGTAATCAGTAATTGATTTGGCCCAGTCTTACCAAAATATTTTTGAAATATCCTAGTTGGCTATTCATACATAAAGAAATTCAAATAGGGAAAGTGATTAGATTGTGAGAATTCACTCAGGATACATGTGCACATATGCACTGGACTAGAGCGTCCAGGGGACAATAAGCAAGCGTATGATTTGCCACATCAGGAAGGCACATTGAAAAGTATCAGTCATCACAAATAGTGATGCACACCATGGCCACCAGTGCTCATAGCTCTAGAATAAGGGCAGGGTAGAGCACTGATTGCCTGAACTATTGTTAGAATGCAGATTCCAATTCAGGGGGGGTCTGTGGCAGCCCCCAAAATTCTGCATTTCCATAGAGCTCCCAGGTGGTGAGGCCGATGCTTCTGGTCCTACAACTGCACTTTGAGTAGCAAAGGGGCTGAAGGAAATAATCATAATTGTTCATTATTAAATATAATTATAATTTCAGGAGCTTTCTGTATCTGTGCTAGGCACTGCACATACATTGAAATTTGTAACTTGAGATTAGGATCATGAAGGCAGTATGGTTTGGAGAAAGTGAGAGAGTTGCCCACAGTTGTTCAGTTAATAAGTGGCAGAAAGTGGGCTTGAACCCAGGCCTTCCTTGATACCAGAGCCCCTATTTTCCCATTGTACACCACAGCTCCACAGACCTTGGGGTCCAGCACCACTAGGTTCCTATCCTCCCTTCATTCCACCCTAGTCCTAGTGGGTGTAGGTACCTCCCTGTCTATGTCATCTATGCTCCCCATCCATGGGATGGGGGATATCAAAGCTTCCTCCTGGGGGCATAGGTGGACCCCGCTTCAGTTAAAGTGCTTGGAGCAATGCAATAGTAGGTGCCCAAGAAAGCTAGTCTCCTTCCCTTTAGAAATATAACATACAGAACAATGTCGAAAGTTATTTCTAGGTTATGTATTTACTAAAATTCTTCAGTGAAACATTTATACCTAAGATGGCTTTATTTTGTTTGTTAAGTAAGTTTTAGAATTGGGGCCCCTTTCCTTAATAGGGTGTAGGTGAGAGGGAGTGCCACCTCTGTGTGTGTGTGTGTGTGTGTGTGTGTGTGTGTGTGTGTGTGTGTGTGTAATGCTATGCTGTACCCTGTGCTGGTCCAGTGGGAGAGGACTTATGAACAACATCTAATGTTCTAATAGATGAAAGCCTAAAACCATCCATTAGCAAATGACAGATGTGGTTTCCTGTCATTAAGAAAAACCCCAACCAGTCATGTGATGTTTTGGCTCCAGGTAATGCAGAGTAAAAGGTTAAAATAAGCATAAGTTGATTTTGACCTAGGTGGCTTTTCCTCCACATTGTCCACAGAAAGAAGACTTAGACTGGTAAAGCCCCAGGAACATACATTTGCATAATGCTTTCATGTTACAAACTTCCAGTTTCCATTATTCTTTACTGAAGATTATAAGCAGGGTTGTTGCCCCTCCTGGGCCAGTGAGCAGCTATTACAAATGCTGTCATACCCTGAAGCCTCCCAACTCCCCAGCTTCATCTAGAACAGATTCAAGTGGACAAGTAGAAGATGCTGCTCACATCTGGGGACAGGCAACAGGGTCTTCCAGAAGCAGGAGGTGACCCAGGCTTGACATCCCAGGCAAGAGGAGCCTCCAACTGCCAGTTCCTAGCTTTGTGGGGCAGCATGTGAGCACCGTGGACATTCTTACATATTATTCGTGTTCTTCTCTCTTCATTGACCTTTACCCCTGTGTTATTCATTATCAGAAGCTTTGAGGGTTCCCAGATTCACCAGTCAGACCCACATTTAATCTGATCCAGCCTAGAATGTTGCCTGATCTTCCTGTAAACAACCAGCTGTTTGGTATAATTATTCTCTTCAATGGAAACTTGCAGGGCATCTTGTGCAGACAAAATGTAGGCAGAAGCTCCAAGTTTTGTCCCTCACCTACTCCATCTCAGCCACAATGGTTTCCTTGCTATTCTTCATACATGCCAGACCCTTTCCCACCCCAGGGCCTTTGCATTGGCTGCTTTCTCTGCCTGGAAAGTTCTTTCCCTCATGGTTTACTCCCTGACCACCTTTAGATCTTCAGTCAAATGCTATTTGATCATCGGGCCTTCCCTGGCCACCATTCACACTTGAACACTCCTTATTATTCCCCTCTAGCACTTTATTTTCATCCATGGCACACATCCATTCTCACGTATTTCACAAATTGCCTGTTTGTTTATTGTCCATTGGTGCCTGCTGGAATGAAGCTCCATGTAGGTGGGGACTTCTGTTTTACTCCCTGAACCTGGAACAGGGCACATCATAGAAATCCATAAACATTTGATGAATGAATGAATAAGTGAATTTTTTTTTTGTAAGACCAATATAACCACTGAAAAAATAACTCCTTTTCAGATAAGTCACCTTTGCTGTTGAATGCTCATTTGTTCATTTATTCAAAACACTTATTCTCCCTGTCTGCATCAGGCAAGGCCTCTGGGTACCATGGGAAATCACCAATGCTTAGAGGGTGGTCCTAACCTTTGTATATGAAAGTTAACAAATGTTTATTAAGTCTGCCTCTGCCCTTTTGGAGAAGGTTGGAGGGCATGATCCATGTATTTATTAGTGGCAATGCTAAGACCTGGGAGTGGCAGTCCCTGGTGCCAGCTTAGCTGCTTTTTGTTGGGCCTGTTGGTCTGTGATGCTGCAGGCCACAGGTTTACCCATGTGCACATGGCACCATGCTGCGAGGGGGCAGCATGTTGCATGACGCCCTTTAAATTTTCCTCTTTCTGCAAAGTGTGGTCTATGGGCAGCTGCAGAAACATCACCTGGGAGCTTGGCAGAAATGCTGAGCCTCTGGCCTCACCCAGACCTCCTGAATCAGGGTTTCCAGTTTAACAAGCCCCCGGGATTCAGGTGCACATTTCAGTTAGACAGGCGTATCTTAAAACACAAGAGGATGTTTTGTCTCCAGCACACAAAGGACTCTAGCTAGAAAATGTCACAAATAAAACCAACAGATAGTCATTGAGAACCTGCCAGGTTTAAGACAAGGGGATGATAAATTTGGTTTAGGATTACACATTCCTGCCCAGGGAGTTGAGGCCTAACATTTGGAGCATCTGGCAAGTAAGTGCATAGTATTTTATGTATGTGATAGATCCACCAGCATCATCAGCCTTCCCGACATTAACTCTTCATATATTTTTGCTACATGGGGAGAAAATTTGGTGCCACTACTGGTACTGGAACCATGTTGGTTTGTGTTTCAGCCTGTCCTGGGTGTGTTAGTACAAGCAAGAGTAGCAAAAACCCACAGACCTATCACCTGTGAAGATAAGTTCTGGCTAGGTATCATGTGATGTGGTGTTTACTTCCAACATCTTAAATAGTTCAAGCTAAAATATCTCTAGCATGGAAATGAAAGCAAAGAGATAGAAATAAGACATGTAATTACACTTACTCTCTTTTTTGAAAAATCAGGGACGTTCTGCCATTTACCTTGAAGTTACCTTACGCCATTTCAACAGCCAAGACTGAAGCTCAGCTTGAAGAACTAGCCCAGCTGGGACTAAGTAAGTGGGTGCCCCTTCCCAGCCGGCTCTTGAAATGAATCTGTGGAGCAGGGTCTGTGTTAGGCTGGCTGACATTACATCAGTACATCAAAACATAATCCCTATCTCCACAGCAAAACTGCTTTCAGGTCCATGTGGTCCCTGAATCAGACCTCCTCAGAGTCTTCTTCTAAGTCAAACAAACCAGTTCTCAAAGGCAGACATTGAGTTTTCCTGGGTAATCTCCATATGTCCCCAGTGTCTCCCATCTGTGAGTGTGAGCTGCCCCAAATGCCAAGTCCCATGGAACCTGAACTGCTGCTGTGTGGCATTTTCCCTGGGAAAGGCAGGGCTTGGTGGGAAGGGAACTCTCACAGTGTCTCACATGCACGGGCTTTATTCTAGAGGAGCGCACAGGCGGTGACTGTACTCCTGTGCAGAATCTAGAGTAACATCTTGTCTCACTCCCCTCTTGTTCATTTTTGGTCTGGGTATTGTGGGGCACATCCCTTTCCTTACCATGCATCCTTGCTCTGGCCCGCTGGGCACTTGTTTCTCCCTCCTGTCCCTTTGCCAGCTCCCCTAAATGCAACACCATGCTGCTAGACAGAGAGTGACAATGGGTCAGGACATACAGCTCACCCAGTTTCAGTTCTTTGCTCTGGGGAGTCTGTGTGCATTTAACTTTGCAAAAAAGTTTTTCTCCTAAATGGGAAGGAGAGATTCTCTTAAGAAATAGGGCTCCCATCTTCGGATGGTCAACAACCAGGCTGTAGTATTTGAGTGGAAATTTGGGATTTTAAAGTGCAAGTTTCAGGATCCCTGTGACCGAAGAAGTTATGATACTTGACCCAGCAGATAAAATGTGTTCCTCTTTGGCATTTTTTCTCTTAATCTAAATTTGTTTTGAAGCTGGTACCATTGCCAAGGGAGCCTGTATAATTCATAGAGAAGCCTGGTGGTAGATTCCCTTCTGAAACTTGGAGTGCTTCTAAGCAATTGCCACGTGTCTGAGGCTCTCTGATTGGCAGTTGGGTAGTACGATTAAGAAGCAGAACCCTGGTAAAAATAACAGGGCCATATAAATGTCCCATAAAAATTATGCCCTCTCTTGCAATTGAGTTTCATACATGTTTGGAGACAGTTTATAATATTTCCTGAATTTAAGTTAATAGAATCAACTAGATGGTAGGCCTCTTGAGGCTGTGCAGGAGTCTCAGCTGGCTCTGGTGACCTTCCTCCCCATTAGTTCCTGGTTGGGTTGGGTGGCCAGTGTACAAAGCAGGCTTCATGCTGGGACTGAAAGGCTAAAGTACTGTGGGCAGTGCTTGTTCCCTGCAGAGGAAGAGGTGAAAGCAGCTTCTCTAGGGGCCACTAGCCAGAAGCAAATGAGAGATAGTTAATAATATATATTCAACTTAACATTGAATATTGAATATATATTGACAATGTAATTTTTAATGTGTACATCACCCATTTTATGAAGAAATGGCACTTTTAAAAACTCTGTACCTCATTTACTTGTCCAACTAACATTTCTGGAGGGTCTGCTATATGGCAGGCCCTATGCCCTATGCCAAGGGTTCCAAAGTTAATAGCGCCCTCCCCCCCATCCCCACCTTTATAGTCTACATGGAAGAAACCACACCCATGTGAGCTAAGTGTACTAAGCCTTATAAAGTTTGACAGCAGGGCAGTAGAAGACAAAGGCAGACCCAAAGGAAGTGGGAGTATTTCACTAGCCAAGAAAAGGCATGCCAATGGGTAATTTTAAATTTTCTAGTAGCCACATCAGAGAAAATGTAAACAGACACAAGTGAGATTCATTTTTATCATTTATTTTATTATTTATTTACATATAATATAAACATTTTATATAATCTTATTTGTGCATTTTTATATCATAAATGTCATTTCAGTATAGAGTCAATATTTTTTAAAGTATTTATGAGATGTTTTATGTTCTTTTTTTCATATTAAGTGTTTGAAATCCATTATGTACTGTATTCTTAAAGCATATCTCTATTCAGGCACTAAATTTTCATCAGAAATACACACTCTGTTTTAAGATTTCATTAAATTTATAGTTGAACAGGTTAATGCACATACCCAAGCTCCAAACCTACTTAAAAGCTTTCCAGTAACTGAACTGAACATAAGTTTTTAAAGTTAAATCGATTAACGTTAAATAAAATTTAAAATTGGATTCCTCCACTGCTCTAGTTGGATTTCAAGTGCTCTATAGTCACAGGTGACTGACTGTTGGCTGCTGTGTTGGACAGCACAGGACTAGAGAAGGCCAGTGACACAGGCACTAGTGTCAGGCACATATTCAGCACAGCAAGGCAGGGCAAGGGCTCCCAGTTTCTGCCTCTCCCCAGCCACTGTGACCAGCCAGTCTGGAGCCATAGGAAAGGAACATTTCTAAGCAAACACAGCAAGGCAAAGCGATAGAGAAGAAATAACCTATTCCAAATGGGAGTCACAACAGACAACATTATCACACCCACTGCCTCCCTCCATCTGCATGGAAAACTGAGACCCATCTGTAAAAGGAGATGTCAGCAGTATATAAGCAATGTGCACTCCTCCAGAGTGTTGAATATGTGTAGCCATGGCAAGGTAGGATTTGGCAGGAACCAGCTGCAAATCACAAAGATCAATGGTTGAACTTACACTGAACATTTGCATAAGTTTGCAGTCTTTTTTCTTTTTTTCTCTGTCTTTTTTTTTTTTTGATGAGACCCATGAGTGTATTTTTCCTCCTTTTGGGTTTTAATGCTGAACTCATAAAACCCCAGGGAGATTGTGCAACACCTCCCAGGCGCAGCTGCTGGTCCTACCCATTAAAGGGGAACTCTCAGGCCCTCTGGGAGGCACCCCCGGGAGAACCGGATCAGAAAGGGCGATGTTGCTTTGTGCGTGGACTCGGTGCTTGTAAAGTAAGTCCGGGAGCCTCGCGGCTTTCCCGAGTTTGTACCACAGCCATTCTACTCCTTTTCCTCCTCACCTCTGACCAGACTGGGCTGGCTTTATATATGTTGGCCGAGCCCTTCCTCGAGGGCTTTGAAGGTGAAAAGCTCCCGGATCTTTCCTGTGAGCCCACAGCTGGGGGATGGCAGCACTTCAACCCTTCCCAGGAAGGAATGCAGTTAAAGCAAAGGGAAAACAACACCCAAGCAAAGCGCCTCCCCCTTCAAAGACATGTGTTGTCATGCAAGTGTGCTTTTTAATTTGTGAACGAATGGCCCAGATGTACTGTATTTACATTCTTGTGTTCACTGGTAATGACTTCCAGATTTTTGGAGCTCTCCAGCGGACAGCAAGCCCCCAAATCCTCCACCTCCCCACAGGCCTCTCTCCTCAGACGGCGTCTGTCCCGCCTCCCGCCAGCTCTGCCTTATAAATGGGGTGCATTCTATAAAAACCAGGACGCCTTCGGAGCTGGAGTGCAGCCAGACCAACGGAGCCCTGTGTTTTATTAATCCCCTTTTCTTGAAAGTGCACAGCCAGGACCTCAGCGGAGGCCTGAAACGGCCCTGCACAAGGACTCCCAGCGTGAATGGCACTGAGAGGCCGAGGTCCCCCCCGCCCCGGCCCCCGCCGCCCGCTATTAATAGTCTCCACACAAGCCCTCAGCTGTGCAGGACTGAAACCCAGGCGAGCATGCCAGAAACAGTCAACCGTAACAAGCACGGGAACGTAGCTGCGCCTGGAACGAAACCAGCCCCCATCCCTCCGCCGCGGCTGAAGAAGCAGGCTTCTTTTCTGGAAGCGGAAGGCGGCGCGAAGACCTTGGCGGGCCGCCGGCCCCGGGCCGAGCCGGGCGCAGCTGGCAGCCCGGGCGGAGCCCCGCCTGAGCAGGCCCCCGGGGACTGCACGAGGGCCCAGCCCGCCAGCTCTGAATCACGGTCCCCGTGGAATGGAGGCAGGCAGAGGCTGAGCGACATGAGCATTTCCACTTCCTCCTCCGACTCGCTGGAGTTCGACCGCAGCATGCCCCTGTTTAGCTATGAGGCGGACACCACCAGCAGCCTGGAGGACTACGACGGGGAGAGCGACCAGGAGACCATGCCCCCCCCTATCAAGTCCAAAAAGAAGAGGAACAGCTCCTTCGTGCTGCCCAGGCTCGTCAAGTCTCAGCTCCGCAAGATGAGCGGCGTGTTCAGCTCCTTCATGACCCCCGAGAAGCGCATGGTCAGGAGGATCGCCGAGCTGTCGCGGGACAAGTGCACCTACTTCGGTTGCCTGGTGCAGGACTACGTGAGCTTCTTGCAGGAGAACAAGGAATGCCACGTGTCCAGCACGGACATGCTGCAGACCATCCGGCAGTTCATGACCCAGGTGAAGAACTATTTGTCCCAGAGCTCAGAACTGGACCCTCCCATCGAGTCACTGATCCCCGAAGACCAAATAGGTAAGTCCTCATTTGGCCTTTTTTTTTTAATGTAAGAAATAGTGTATCCTTATAAGGACAGTGCATCCTAGTTGAAGTTTTCTCTGGAGTTCGAGAAACGGTAGCACAGTCGGTTTGGTCTCTTGCAGGATGAATGGAAATGTAGCTTCTTAAGGTAGAGCTCACATACCTGACTAGGCTCTGCATGCCTGGCTTGGAAGTGTTTTGGGGAGTGACTGATTGGAACTGCAGAACGGTTCTGTTCAGGGATGGAGCTTGCCTTCTGAGGTTTGGGTTAATTTTGTGTGTGTGTGTGTATGACGACCCATCAGTGTTTCTGAAAGGCGTCTCTGCAGGCGTCACATGCACAGTGCCGGAAGATATTTTTGCATCTTCTGAGAGGCAGTGGTGTTTTGTTCAGCTTTATTTGGGAATTACGCTTTCTCTTATTGAGGTGTAGTGTGTGTTCACAGAGTGCAGACATCACTGGTGTGCAGCTCGACGAGTTTTGAGAGTGAACACACCTGTAAGACAAGTGCCAGCTCAGTAAGCAGAAGATTAGCATCCAGGGGCCCCCTGGTGCTCCCACCCTGTCACCCTTCTCCCAAAAGGGTAACCACCCTGCTGGCTTCTAATCCCACAGAATTCAGGAAGAGGTACAGTTTTGGAGTAAGAAAAAAAGGTGGAAAAGGCAAGTTTGTGTACCTTTATAATACGTAACATATTTGGAGGTCACATGAAAGGTGTTTTCTACAAAGTTAAGGGGAAATACTTTATAACCTCACTGAAGGGCTGAATTGTTAATGGTTACTTTGGCCAAGGAAAATTTGAATTTGGCAAGCAGTCTTTTTTTTCCAGGTGAGAATGTTGAAGCTAGATTTTTGTTTTTGTTGTTTTTGTTTTTTAATTTCAGAAGGTTGACTCTAAAAGGCTAATTTCAGAGACCTCATTCACTGGACCACAGCAGCCAAAAGAGCTACCAAACATTTCCAAGCAGTACATAAAGCTAAACCCTAATTTCTTCTTTCTGATTGGGTCCGTTTGTCAAAAGTAGTAAACAGTGTGTGGTAGAGAGTGGTTGATCACTCTCAGGCTCTGTCTCTTTTTCTCCTTTAAGTGAGTTTCAGCAGCTCTTTGATTTTCTCACAAAGGAATCAAAGCCTTGTTTGTTTTCTCGTGCTTTGAGACTGGTTTGATGGGGCGTGGCTGGAGCTGGGTTTTGCTGAAGAGAGGGGCCGAGAGAAACGTGCCTTAGAACTGAAAAGGTGTCAAAGAGAAGGCAGAAGAGCAGGCCACCTCTTTTCCAGCCCACCGGAGCCCATCTCTCAGGGGCACCAGCTCAGACAGACTGACACAGTGAACCCAAACATGCAGGAGAAGCAGGTTCCGGAGGAACCAGGGGAGCGCGAGGCGGGTGCTGATGTCAGCCCTGAGCTATGTGGCAGGAGTGCCAGCCAGCCCACAGGCACAGGGCTCCCGAGGGACAAGAGCTTTCCCTTCCTTTCCAAGCACCAGACAGGGACAGCTCTTCTGCCAGTTTCCTCTGAAGCCAGCTCAGATATGGTACTTGCTCTTAAGGAGTACAAAAGCTCATTTTCTCCAAAAACAGATACATACTTTGCTGCTCCAGAAGGACATGGCTTTTAATTTAAAGTCTAAGGTCATAATGAGAAAGGAAGCTGACATCTGTGGAGCCTCTGAGTCAGGCAGCCAGTCCAGGTGATTTCAGTGGGTCCTGGCCTCACCCCCATGAAGCAGGCATTGGCACCCATTGATGAGGTGAGAAAGGCAGGGCTCTGCCAGGTGGAGCCAATTGTCCTAAGGTCACCCCAGCTAGTAACCAGTAGGAGCAGCATCTGAACTTCTTACTGTGGAATTCTTAGCTCACCTCTCTGCTGCTGCCTCTGTTCATGTTCTCTCATCAGAAATTAAGGGGAATTAAAAAAAACAAATGCTTAAAGTTGTGTTGTACACCTAGAACTAGTACAATGCTATATGTCAATTATACCTCAATAAAAAATTTTTTTTAATTAAAAAAGAGATTAAGGGGGAGTTGAAATAGTAGGCTAACTATTTTGGAAGCTCCAACTAAACTCTCTATGGAGGTGAGGGTGTGATCAGCCTAAGCATTGTGACACTTTTTTATTGTTTTGTTTTGTTTTTTTAAACTTTTACACTAAAGCAGGCCCTGCATCATATTTATTGCTTCCCCAGTAAAACCATCATTCTGTTTTGAAAGCACAGTGAATGTGTTGCGCTCTTGAAATTAGGAGGAAGGTGAGCCAGAGCAGAAGTCAACAACCTCAGAAACTCATCACAAATCCAGTTGGAAAGGAAGAGGTCCACCCTAATTATTAGAAAACCTGTCCCTTAAATGCACAGGTTATCAGATCAAGACTCTGACAAGAAAATGGACTTAGTCTAATTGCCTGTATTTCACGTATCCCTGAGTTGAGTGCCCACTAGTTTACTAAGGACTTACTAATAAATACAGTGGCTCCTTTGAACTTCATCACCAGCTCAAGGTTGGTACATTGGTGTAGATATTGTTCACGTTTGGCAAATTCAGGAACAGAGGCCACAACATGTAAAGAGGCTTGCAGAGGGTTATGCTGTGAGAAGTAGGGGAGCTTGGATTCAGCCCAGATCTTCTCACTCTCTCTGTTGTCTACTCATTCCCACCTTATCTCACTTCCTGAGAGGATGTAATCCACGTTGAATGCCATCCCCAGATTACCAAGCCTCAAATTTGTTCCAACCTGGTGTCTACTAATGCTTGTAAGACTTTCCCAGGATGCAAGTTGGGCAAGTTGGGATACTCTGCTCTAAAAGATATGGTCCTGTCCTCCTTTCCCACTGCTACTGGAGGTGATAGCTCTGAACTAGGAGGTGGGAATTTAAATTTAAAGCCTAGGTTTACTGAATGTCCATCTGAAATCGAGGAAGTAGGAGGAAGCATTTCACAGGTTTAACCCATATAGAATTAGAGCTATCATTCCTATGTGAAAATTGACCATCTGAATGAAAGCATATATACATTTAGTATATAGAGATAGTCCTTATCTGTCTTCTTCAGAGAGTGGTTCTTCAGTTGCATAGAGAAAAGCCAGTGAAAAAAACACATAGCTCTCACCCACTGCAAATTTATCCACACGCTCCTGTCATCACCTGTTAAGCCTATACTTTCTAGGTGAGTATAAAATGATGAACAGTCAAAGCAAAAGTGAAGAAACTGCCACTCCAAATGTGTCCTATTGTGTAGAATTTGCATTCTCTTTGGACTACTCTTTAAAGCACTTACACCCCAAAGCCCTTCCATTTAGAGGTTCTTGAATAAATACTGATAGACATCAGCTTCACTCTCCTAGTTGGAAAATGAAGCCAATACAGATAAGTGAGTTCCCATGTGAGCTAGCTCTGTTCATTCCCAGACCACACTTACTGTGTTTCCCTCCTGGACAACTCTCCACTAATGCTCAACCCCCTTATGTGCCCCACCTTACCCCCCCAACCCAAAAAAAGTGGAACATGGAAGGAAAAACAGATGCTTTAACAAAAAGTGTACAGTTTCAGGTTCTACCAGAAAGTCCTGGGATCAGTAACTTCATCAACAGAGTAAGGAATGCTTGTGCATCCCGCACTGTAAAGTATATATAGATGGGGCATGACATTGCTCATTATTCCAACATCTGTTCCACATTGGTGAGTTTGCACATCATGCCATTCTTGATTCAGTCTCTTTCAACCAATAGAATAAATCAGACCAGAATTTCTGAGAGTGAAATCTCCACTTTGCAGAACTTGTTGCATTTTTGTGGTTAGTGTTTTGATTTTACTCAGGCAAAAGAATTTTTATTTATGATTTGATGTTAACCTTGGGAAATCCTCTGTTTTCAAGTCATGTGTCAAGAAAAACAAAATTTCTCTAACTCCAGAAATGTTAGTAATCTCAATTTTCTATTTCATTCAAGCTGCCCACCACAGACTATCAACAATGGTACAAATAAGCCAGCCGTTCATATTCCTAAAAGTCAGTGAAAAAAAAGACAGTATGGTTTTGCTTTCTTTATACGAAGATATGTATTTTCTCTGAGGAGCATTTCATTTTTTGAAGTATCCTTAAACTCAGTTCTCACACATGTAATTGAAAAATGATACTGAGATGTGGTTAGATACCAGAGAACATAGCATAAGAAGAAAATGGGCTTGAAGTGATTCCCCAGGAGTTAAACAATTACAGATCATTTTAAAAAAATGAGTGCTCAAGTCTGACTCAAGCTTCAGCATCTAATGTGACTTATTAATTTTTAATTCACAGTTTGGTTGTAGCCTTTGAGTTACTATCTGCTGTTTTTTAAATAAAGAATCATTCTGAGAGATATGGCCAGAGAGACATCTTGTTGTCAAGTGAGATTAAAGCCTTGACTCTGGCTGGTGGTCCAGTTTGTGACAATGTCACAAATGTCTTTCTACAGTGAACAAGGGTGGATAGAAAGGAGAAAGATCGCTCTCTTGCAGTGTAAAAGAATGCGTAGTTTTCTTTGAAAATTAGTTTAAATAGAAGACCACAGCAGGAATCATTTGTTGTATCATCCCATGTGATATCATTTGTGGTATAATTTTTAGTGCTGGGCATCAAACCTGGGTTAATTGTGTTGTATCAAGTAAAGGAAGTGTCACAGCCCTGGAGTTGAGAATCTTTGCCCATGATACTCTGTACAAGAGAACTGTTGGCTCAGCAATTCTAGGCTCTTCCATCTCAAGAGACAGGTAAGCACCTCCCAGGCAGAAAACATCACCAGGTAAGGGGGAATTCGTATAGGAATTAAGAATATGAGCCAAGGGTCACTTGAAATGGTACACTGATTGAAATGGAAGCTTCAGAATCTCTAAGACTTTGGCACATTTTCCACGATAGCTCCAATTGGCTGGCTGTGAGGCAGCCACCCACCTCACCTCGTGGACAGAGCCCTCGCTGTCAGGGTCCCACCCATGAGCCCTGCCTCCCTTGCTCAGTCTGT